TAAACCATGTATCAAAAATATGCTCAAAGCAGACAAAACTTTTTTATATTTTTATAAAACGCAAGTTGAAACGCTAAACAAGATAAATTTAAAAAATATTTAAAAACCTAAATTTTTCTTTGCTAGTCAAAACAAAATCGTTGTTTAAATAATTAACATGGGTTTGTGTTTATCAATGTTAATATTTTTTGTTTACTCTAGAAATTTTTAAAAATAAAAAAAATCACATTTTTTTTGTTGAAGTTAGATATTTAAAATCACATTTTTTTTGTTGAAGTTAGATATTTCAATTTGTAATTTTTCATATTTTATATAATTAGATAATTAGATATTTCAAAATAATTATTATTTATTCAATAACGATTTATAAACAATAATTATTCAAAAACAAATTTCAGAAATAATTAAAATGTTTATATATATATATATATATATATATATATATATATAAATATATATATATATATATATATATATATATATATATATATATATATATATATATATATATATATATATTATATATATATATATTTTACTAAATAATATTGAACTAAAATTAATAATAAAATAACAATTGCAAACATTTCAAATTTTTCATAATAAAATTACATTTAAAACGTTTATAGTTATTTCAATAAGCTTTTTAACAGCATGTCTTTGGTTCTTAGAAATAATTTTATTTTAAATCTAGAAAAATAGTTAAGCTTCATTTAAAATCACATTTTTTTTGTTGAAGTTAGATATTTCAATTTGTATCAAAATCATTATTATTTATTCAATAACGATTTATAAACAATAATTATTCAAAAACAAACTTCAGAAATAATTAAAATGTTTATATATATATATATATATATATATATATATATATATATATATATATATATATATATATATATATATATATTTATATATATATATATTTTACTAAATAATATTGAACTAAAATTAATAATAAAATAACAATTGCAAACATTTCAAACTTTTCATAATAAAATTACATTTAAAACGTTTATAGTTATTTGAGTTAATTGTTAAATTGAAATAGTTTGCGGTTATTTATTTATTGCGGTAGTTAAACACTTAACGTATATAAAAAAAAAATAAAGATAATTTTATGACGTCAAAATCGTGTTAAGCTAATGCATTAAGCACTTTTTTATTTAAAACAAGGCCTGATACATACAAGTAAGTTACGAGTGAGTAAACACTGCGCCAGAGGTTCAAACAGAATACAAATATACATATATAAAGTAACTTATGGGTGAACCAACACTGTGCCAGAGATTTTTTTTCCTTTGGCGTTTCTCTGGGTCAGAAAAATGTTGTTTTTTTGGCTTTTTCTGCTTTTTTTAAAGCAATTTTTTAGTTTTTTTGTGCATAAATTTTGGAATAGTTTTCCTTTATTCTAGTATATTTTTAGTATGTGATTGCTAAAAATACAATTACATGCTTAAACATCAATTTAACTTATATTTTTAACAAAAAACTAAATTAGCTCTAAGTTAGTTCTAGGCATACTGTATGGGAATGTTCATTTGTCATGTAATTCCTAACAACTGTGATATTCTCATCATATATACAAAGTATTCTTATCCTATAAAAAAGTTACCATTTTAATTTTGATAATGTAAATATATTAGTATATAATACCACTCCAATTTAATATCAGACTTCAAATCCTCAAAGAAATCAAAAGCAATCTATCAAGATTATTTATTTATTTGAGCATTTGTATATTATGTAGTAATTTAGTCTTACATTGTTTGTTTGTTATTTTTGCAAAAAAAAAAAAAAAAAAAAAAAAAAACTGCAAGTAGACCCATATAAAAAAAAGCCTTATACTAAACTTAACTTCAAAGAAAATTAAAAATTTTTGAATAACTATTATTTACTTTCCAGACCAGCTTCATCTGATGATTCATAATTTAATCATTCATGATTTATATTTTTATCTGCATTTGTTTTGTTTTTTTTATTACAAAATTTATTTATCTATACATTTTGCTATAGTACTATATCAGTACACTTGCAAAACTTTTAAATGTTCAAGTTCAATTTTTAGACATAATCTTATTGTAAAAGAAACTTTTTTCCGTTTTTCTAATTTGGTTCAGAAGTTTAAATAAATAGGGAACTAATGTTTTATTTCTGCCCCCTGCATGGAGAGCTTAATCATAATTGATTGATTACCAATAAGAAAAAACAAAAAAAATCACTCAATAACTTAAAGATCTCCTTTCTCTCTATATATATGTATGCATATATATATATATATATATATATATATATATATATATATATATATATATATATATATATATATATATATATATATATATATGTATATATGTATATATATATATATATGTATATGTATATATATATATATATATATATATATATATATATGTATATGTATATATATATATATATATATATATATATATATATATATATATATATATATATATATATATATATATATGTATATTATATATATATATATATATATATATATATATATATATATATATATATATATAAGTATGCATATATATGTGTGTATATATATATATATATATATATATATATATATACACACACACACACACAGGGTGTTAGCCAGGAATATGTTTTTTACCGTGTTTTTGCAATATTGTGAATATTTCTTGTTATTGTTTTACAAAACGTAAAACAATAACAAGAAATATTCACAATATCAAATACACTTTCAAAAGTTTCAACAAATTTTAAAGATCAAAATAATAAGAATACGTTAGTAAAAATCTAGAATCGATAAGCTTTTTAACAGCATGTCTTTGGTTCTTAAAAATAATTTTATTTTAAATCTAGAAACTTAGTTAAGCTTCATTTAAAATCACTTTTTTGTTGTTGAAGTTAGATATTTCAATTTGTATCAAAATAAATTTTAGAGATTCATAACTTTCCTTGTTAAAATTTGATTTAGTTGATAACCTATTATCATATTGTAACATTATTTGGTTTTGCAATCATTTTAATTGATTTGTTCAATAAATTTTTTAATCTGTTTTAACTTTATGATAAATTACTGCTTTTATCATAACACTTTTCAATGAATTTTTAATGATAAATTCTAATCTTTTAATACAATTTTTATGAATAATTTTATACAACAATGTTAATATAGTCAAAAATAATTTTATGAATGCAAAGACTAATAATAATAATAAGAAGAAGAATAAATTTTTGCTGTACACATACAATGTGTGAATCTAACATCGGTATGTTAAAACTTTTACAGCCGTTGCAAAAGTGTTTTTTTTTTCCTTTTTATATTTTATATTTTTATTTTTCTTTTTTTCGAAACGATCTAACTTGTTTTTGAAGATGCTCACATTTTCAGAATTAATTATCTCCTCTGTTAAATTATTCCAATTGTTAACTATTCTATTTGTAAGAAAGTTAAATCTTGTGGTAGAATGTGTGAATTGTTTTTGTATTTTCTGAGTATGACCTCTTGTTTGTCATATTTGTTTATGGAATGTAAATAAAAAGAAATATAAATGAACAAAAATAATTTGATTCATTTTTTTTTGTGTGTGTATATATTACTTAAAAAAAATTTTTAAGCACTCTGACGTTACAATGAAACAGCCTGCTACCGGGGGCTTCAGTACATAAACTATCTTGTAGCCTGCTGCCACAAGGAAATGCCCCTATATCAACTGAGGATTTGGCATGGGGCAGAAATCTTTTTTTTTTCATCATTTTTTGTTTTTTCTCTTTTTTATGAAAAAGCCATATAAATAAGTGTAAAAAACATTTAATAGCTAATTGTCTCAGCTATTCCTGATTTAAATTCTTTTTTGTTTCTTTTATCATTTGTTCAAGTACGTACATGTATATATATATATATATATATATATATATATATATATATATATATATATATATATATATATATATATATATACAAATAGTATTGCACACTTAGTTAAGCAATTGAACATCATGCTGAAAAAAAGAGCTGCGAGGGTTTTAGTAAATACTTGCACTATCTGTGTACATAAACTTCTGTTGATTTTGGTCGATAATATACTGTTACTTTTTGATCATCTTTGGCTCAATTTTTAAAATACTAATCTTGTTTTTGTTTTAATACAAGTCTTTCATTGTTAAATACTGCCTGCTATTTCAGTGTAATATAGATATTTCATGCTCTGCTAAATCCACAACTATTTATATATGTATATACTTATTCCTTATTAATAGTTCTAATTGATATATGTAACTAAGCCCCAAAAAAATGCTTATTTTAGTATAGTATCATCGGTGGCATTTCATGCCAACTATAATCTTCAGTATAAAATTTTATAAAAACATACAAATCAGGGAACAACTTTTGAACACACACACAAACACACACACAGATATATATATATATATATATATATACATATATATATATATATATATATATATATATATATATATATACTCATATATATATATATATATATATATATATATATATATATATATATATATATATATATATATATATATATATATATATATATATATATATGTATATATATATATATATATATATATACACATATATATATATATATATATATATATATATATATATATATATATATATATATGTATATATATATATATATATATATATATATATATATATATATATATATATATATATATATATATATATATATATATATATATATATATATATATATACTCATATATATATATAAAGATTTACATTTGCTACAATTTACTATATATGAATGGAAATCTATCTTCATTCACTTTTATTTATATGTAATTTATATTATAATTTCATACAGTCATTCTAATACATTTTCTTAAAAACTTATAACAAAAAAAATTTGAAAAAATTATTTATGATTACTTTTCATTCAGTCATTCTGATGTATTTTTAAAAAATTTTATCAAACAAAAAAAATAATAATAATAAAAACCTCAGTAATAGGTGTGTCAATTATACGTTTATCTCCATACTTTTTCCATAGTCCTTTGCTGACCTAAATAAAAACCAAGTATTCAATTTTATTATTAATTTCTAGAAATTCTATGATATATATATATATATATATATATATATATATATATATATATATATATATATATATATATATATATATATATATATATACATACACATATATACACACACTCACACAAATAAATATGTAAAAATATACTTTATAGGCACCGTCATATTGAGCTACTTCTTCACCAATCAAAATAACTTTTTCATCTCTTTCTAACTCTTCATCCATGGCCATGTTGAGGGCATCTCGAACACTTATCTTAAAAAGGAAAACATAAAGTAACTTTTTAAATAAATAATTTCAGCAGCATTAATTTTACTATTACAGGATTTTACTGAAATAAACTGATTAATATTAGATTATAAGATTGTATATATGGTAAATTTAACATAATATTCATTCAGGATTTAATTATTTTACTAGATGAAATGTTTAATAACTTTTTCAGATCATTTTTATTTATATAAAATATTGTTCTTTATTTAGAATTACTTACTGATTTTGTTGCAGCAGAAGAAGAAGTGACAGAAAACGCTCTTAAATTACTGTTCCGTAAATTTCTCACCTTAAAAAAAATAAAGATATAAAACTAATTTCTTTATCTGCATATTTCTTGATGTCATAAAACACAAGTAGGTTTTTATTGATTTTAATACACAATAAGTTAGAGGTCTTAAAACTCAAAGTTGTAAAAGGTTTACTTTTTTAAAGACCAATTAAATAATCAAAGATCTATATAAATAAAAATGTAAAAAACGTAATACACCTCCTAACAGTTCCAATAATTTTATGCGTGCATATTTAACAGTACTTTTTCATGCTCTTAATACGCAGAATAACATGAAAAAAATTAAATACAAATATAAACTAAGATAGAGTAAAAGGAACAGTTGTTTATTCAAGATTTTTTTTGTTTTTTCATAAAAACGTCAACAACAAAAATAATGATATAATATATATACATTCTGGACAAAAAAAATGAGACAAAGTTTTTCAAGTTTTATTTTCAAAATAATAAATTAATAATAAAATTGTTCAATAGAAAATAAAGAGTAAAGCTTAATTTTTAAAATAATATATTAATCAATATCCGGTCACGTGTCCTGGTACTTATATGCATTTTTGAACACGACAGTTTATACTGTCAATTAATGACTTCAAATAATCCAAGGAAAGTCTAAACTTCTTAAATTGCAACCTCTAAATCATCTAAGTTTTTCTTTTCCAATGCTTTTTTCATTAACCTTACACATTTTTAATCAGGTTTAGATCCGGTGATTTAGGAGGCCAAGAAGAAACTTTCCATTTATGCTCTGTAAACCACTCAGAAACTGATTTTGAGGTGTGGCACGTCACCCAATCCTGTTGAAATGTAAAACTCTTTGGGAAAAGATTTTTTAGAGTTGGCTCATCTTCAGAAAGTATTTCTTTGTATTTTTCACTATTCACAGTGCCCTTGATTATAAGCAGCCATGTTTTACCTTTGGAACTAATCACCCCCCAAACTCCCATGAGACTCTGTTTGAACTTTGATTTGCCAATTCTTGGTCGTTTTTTTGCTCTTCAACCTTCTTGAGTTCAAAAAAACTCAAAACGACTCTTGTCACTAAACACCCACTGGTTTTATCTTGTTTTTAGGTGTTCTTCACACCACTATACTCTTTTTTCTTGTTGAACAGGAGTCAGCAAGGGTTGATTTTTGGGAAAGAAATTGAACTACTCACTTCGGTTAATATGAAGAGCAATGATTCTGGGAGCAGCCTTGGTAATACCTTGGTAATTTTTTGATTAATTCAGTTTTAATATCTTGGGCGGATCGTGTTACATCTTCTCGAGCTAATTTAATTAATCGTTGTTGGCAGGGCTGTGGAGTCGGAGTTGTGGAGTTGCGACATTTTTACCGGAGTCAGAGTCAGAGTCGCTAAACAAAATCGCGACTCCAACTTCAATAGTAAAACTTCTTGGTATTGCACGCCCATGTATAAAACATTCAAATAACCGTATGTTTATACTGAACTTCAAAGAACGTTTTATAAATTTGTCAAAAAAAAGTTTTTAACTTATTTACAGAATTCAAAGAATTTTTCAAAAATTTTGCCTTGGAATTGGAATCGGAGTTGGAGTCGGAGTTGGACTTGTACTCAAAAAATTTCAATAACTGGAATCGGAGTCGTAACTTTTTTTTTACAACTCCACACCCCTGGTTGTTGGTCCTTTAAATTAAGTTTTCTTGGTCAACCACCTCCTTTCTTTCTCTCCAAGCTTCCCTCATTTTCTTTAAATATCTTGCAACTGTTACCTTAAGTATCACAGTTAATTTCATCAAAGATTTTAGGTCTTTATGACCTACTTTAAAAAGATTGTCAAGTGTCAATGCTGATGACTTTGTTTCTAAAGTAAATATTTT